AAAAAAAAAAAAAAAAAAATCAGCATTCCAAATAAATCCCAATAACCTTTAGAGGTTATGAAGAAAAATCTCTGACTTCTATTAAAAGATTTAAGGCCAGCAGCTAATGCTGTGGTTGGTTAGTGCAGAGAATTAAGCTATTAATAACCATGCCTGTGTATTCTCACTCAATTCTTATTAACCTACTTTAAGGATCAGAGGCTCTTTGGAAATTATTTAATAATAATCATTAACCATCTCTTCATCTTGTCTAGAATAAATCTGAACTTATTAATGAGTAGGTACCTAGTAAATATTTAATATTCTACTTAATATAGATATTCATGCTGAAACTATTCAAGTTAATCTGTTAATTAACATGCTGATCAGAGAAGCAAGTTATAAACAACAGAATTTGTGAATTAAAACTGGTGAAGTATAAATACACAAGTTCTAAGTTATCATAAGAAATCAAGCTTGTTTTGAAATACATTAATCAAAAAGTAGGTTTTCTTCACTCCTCTGGTACCAGTTGCAGACTGAAGACAAGCTACAAGGACTATTCTAGGTTTAGGATATCAACAAAGTCCAATTTTATATCTGGAAAACTTTTTTTTTTTGGATAAGATAAAAAAAGCCAACATATTTTAGACTCTTGTTCTGCTTCTCTGCCATAATACTTTATGTATAGCAAATATGACTGCAGTGACTATCATTACAAGATTGTTATTACTGTTATGCAATTTCTGGTCTAGATTGGAAATAGATAATAAATAAGATAAAGAAATGAGTATATAGAATGTTAAATAGTGGTAAGTGCCAAAGAGAAAAAAAATAAAGCAAAAAAGAGTTTAGGAGGTATATATGTGTATGTGTGTGTATTAGGTAAGATAAAAGGCATTAAAATATTCAGGTCAGCCAAGGAAGGCCCTTTATCCAAATCACATATAGAGAAGAATGAAAAATTCATGCCACTAATTGTTAGCAAGATATTTCTGCTAAGTTGATTGTTATTCTGGAAGCCAGAAAATCTTATTCAGAAAAATCAAACTTCCAAAAAGTTTCAATATGAGTTAACTCCATTTAATGGAATTTAATGGAGGAAATTTTACTGCGTAACACAATTTCTTTAGAAAAGCAGCATTCTTGATTTTATTTTTAGGAGGTAAAGTGAGAAAGAAAATGATTTCCTATATATAGTTGTTGAATTTTATTTTAGACAACATAGTAGAGCTTCTAAGATACTCTGGGGTTCCAAGTTTCAATCCATTAGGGCCAAGTGTTCATATTACTAAAAATGATGGCAATCACTTGAACATCATTGAGTCTATTGACTTTGAATGAAAACAGCTAACTGGAACTATGACAGTCCCGAATCATCTGAGTGATGCCCTTGGTACTGTACTAGCTAGTTTTCTGTGGCCCTTGCTGCTTAACAGACAAATAAATATGCTAATACATTTGCCCAGTCCTCAACCATTTGCTAGCAAAGCTTTTGAAGATTAAGGAATGACATGCCTTCTCATAAAATGACTTGGGAGCCATTTACTGTATTTAGACTAATGATCTCTTGTTACCCACAGGGAAGGAGATAGACTGAGTGCCTTATTTCCTGTCATCTGAGCAGCAACTTGAACATGGGAAAGAACTGATCTCAGTGTCATTTCTGTGGCATTATTTTCCCCAGTGGCTTGTTAGATAAAGTGAACAATGCAGTGTGAAACATTCAGATTGCAAGGATGCCCATTATCTTCAGGAGAGTTTCTGAACAGCCTTTCCACAGCTCAGCATTTGAGAAAGAAGAGGCAGTAAAGTTAAGGCTATCACTGCTGAAAATGTGACTGCATCAGTAAAACCAAGCCACAGGAGCTCAGATGCTGAGCTCAGTCCAGGTTCGAATCCTGAATTATCTACATACTCTCTATGGGATTAGGAGTAAGTTCTATATATTCAATATGGGACTAAGGGTAAGTTCTCTGTATGCTTCAGCTTCCTCATTTTTAAAATGAAAATAAGTATTATAGGGCTAAAGTAAGGAAAATATTTATCATTAGAGTCCCCCAGGTAAGATGGTTTATAGAAAAAGTATTTGAAGATTTTTCCAAATTTGAAGAAAAGTATAAATTTACAAACCTTAAGACAAGAAATATGAAGAAAACTACATGAAGATGCACTATAATAATAGTAATTTTAAAAAATTGCCAAAAATGACATGAATGGTTTCTAACTAGACTGGAAGCATTTAGCAATGTCTAGAGACCATTTTGCTGTCACAGCTGGTGGAGGGGCAGAATAGAGGCATCTAGCGGGTAGAGGTCAGACAGGTTGCTAAGCACACAGGACAGCCTTCACAACAATAAAGTAATTATACTACCCCAAACAGCAACAGCTAAGATTGAGAAAGTGACAAACCGTTGTGTAATCAAATGCTTAAAATCAGTGATAAAGTCCTAACATCATTTTATTATGTTTTTTTTCATTCCTGACATAGCAAGCAAGTTACATAGTATTGTAAGTCATTTTCTGCAAATCACTCACCAAAATCAAACTAGGTGCTGAGTACCCAAAAGTAAAGGTGCCAAAGCCAGCAGAGTTACTTGGAGGGGTTTCTAGAACTCAAAGATCAATGTGACTTTTAAAAAAACCAAAAAACAAAAAACATGCCTTTTATTTTATTTATTCTTTTGGTGGTTCTTGAGTTTGAACTCAGGTCTTCATGCTTGCTAGGCAAATACTCCTACCACTTGAGTCATGCCTCCAGACCATTCTTGCTTTAGGTTATTTTTCAGATAGGGTCTTGTGCTTTTTGCCCAGGGCCAGCATTGGACAATGATCCCCCTACCTACGCCTCCTGGGTAGCTGGATTATAGACATGAACCACCATGCCTAGCTTATTTGATGAGATGATCTGCTAGCTTTTTGTCTGGCTGGCTTCAAGCCATGATCCTCCCAATTCCACCTCACAAATAGCTGGGATTATAGCTGTGAGCCACTGCACTGGTTTAAACATGCTTTTAAATAGTTGTTAAGAGAACTACATAATGTGCCAGGTACTCTGAAGATTCTGTTATGAGGTCCTCTGACACTTAGCAAGGTATGAAGGTAATGGGACTAGGCAGTAGATACAAGTTAAAAATCTCATTTCAGCTTAATGAACATTTACTAGGACTACTTCCATATTATGTCTCACTGAAGCTCTCTAAACCGATTTCCACATTTAATGCCACTTTATGCCATTCAATGTCAATTCTATCTAAAGTCATGAAGTTTTAAAGCCTCTACCAATTCTGGCCATTTTTTTTAAAGATGAGATTTACAAGGCTTTTGAAAAAGACATGACATAACACGTTGGGATAGGATATCAAGAATAAAACCCAAGACAGATTTCATACCTACTAAATACTAGGCACTGAATGAGGTACTTTATATTCATACTTTCACACTCCTCAATCAAATCATTTGGGTTTGGTATTATTGACATCTTCATTTTACAGACAAAAACAGAAGAACAAATTCATTGGTTTGCCCCAAATCACAGAGCTAAGTCAGGGCAAGGATTTGAACTGAAGTCCATTTCAAAAACCCATGTCCTACTAACATGCTAACTCACCCTAATAATACACAACTTAAGACCAGAAATGTGCTTTTATTTAGTTTACTATTTTGGATTGTCATAGTCAGTCAGTACATATTTTCATTGTCAGAGCACTGTTCACTACACATATTAATTTAGACACTTTGTGCCCCAATGTCAGCTGTGATAAGACATAAATCTATACTCTTTCTTTTCCCTGTCAGCTGTTACAGAGAGGGAATAAGGATTAAAAAGCAGTCATAGGCATGGGCAGAAACCATGTATGTCATTTATTAAAAATTGTCTTGTAGTTTTATCTTTCTGGAGGACTGGGCCAGAGGAGGGGGGAAGGTGCTTGTTTCTGTTTTATATGTCCCCGTCACTTCTTTCAAACATATAAATCTGAACTCTTTAGTTCACATTAGGTTACATTTTTAATAGACAGCACACAGAGAGTTATGAAGTTTTTCTGAATGTTTTAAATTAAAACAAAATAAAACAAAAAGTCACACAGAAGTGTACACTCTAAATTATTTAACTTAAAAAAATCAGAAATTCATCCATGTTCTAAATGAGTCAACTTTAAGTTTTGTGTCTCCAGAAGTATTCTTCCAAGATTAAAAAATAAATATCAACTCAATTAAGACCAGCCAGCCAACTGTCTTCTAAGTGGAAGAAACAATAGATCCAAGTGTGTTTTAGTAGTGATGTTAGTGAAGGCTACAAGAGTAACCTTCATTCATTCATCTTGACAGATACAGAGTATTAGATAGTTAAAGGTAGATAGAACTTTGCAGTTTCTTTTAAAACTTTTCCTTGAGGGCTGGTGGTGTGGCTCAAGCAGTAGAGTGCCTGCTTTGTGAGTGCTTGCTTTTCAAGTGTGAAGCCTGAGTTCAAACCCCACTCCCACCAAAAAACAAAAAAACTTTTCCTTGATACTTTAGGTTTTCTTTTTCTTTCAGGTGACTCTAAACATGAATTACAGAAAACTCAAAACAAATGAAATATAAAACTTGTAATTTGCTAACTCCACCAACATGTCTTGCTTTTCCATTCAGTTAACTGTTTTTCTAGTACTGCATGTTCCTTACAAACAAATAAAAGGAAAAGTTTATACTTACTGGACAGAACAGTTGTAAGGAAAATGTAATCTGAAAAGGATATGAGCCCACATTCTCCAAGGGTGTAAAATATACTCCCTTCATCAGCGAATTTTTCTCGTTCCTGGGCAATTTTCTATTAAATGTATAGGTCCAAGCAAAAAATAAAAAGAAGATATAACTGGATTAGAACACAAATATAAGAAATAAGTCACCATCTATCTCACAGTTTTATGCTATTTATTCTTATCTTAAGCATTTCTCTCATGGCCCTATAAAATGGATCCTTTACAGTTTTTTAAGATAATGAAACTTCAAAGACAAAAGATTTTTTTTTTCATTTAAACACTGGGTTAATATGAACACCAGAAAATAATTTTAATTTTAGAACCCCCTACCATTGAATATAGAGACCTACTTCAGACCTGGCTTTATTTTTTATTTTAATTAGTTGTTTTGATGGTATTGTGGTCTGAACTCAGGTTCAAGTGCAAGCCTAGCAACTTGAAGCCCACTTAACCCAGGCTTCAAGAGATTTTTGCTTTAGGTTATTTTTCAAATATGTTCCCACATTTTTGCCCAGGATAGGCAATCATCTTTCTATCTAGGCCTCCAGCTATCTGGGATGACAGATACATGCCTCCATGCCCAGCATTTTTGTGGGGATGGGGTCTCACTAACTTTTTGCCTGGGCTGGCCTTGAACCATGATCTTCCTGATCTCTACCTCCAGAGGAGCTGGGATTACAGGCACAAGCCATAGCACCTGGCCTTGTGTTTTAGTTTAGAAAAAAACTGCCTTCTTCTAAAGAGGTATGTAACCTAGTTAAAAAAATCAAAATAAGCACATGAAAAACTAAAAAAGAAATTAGTTCTAACTGCTCAAGAAAAACTATACTGCTCATGATCAGAAATGAAGAGGTAAGCAACTACTTCCAAGGACCATACAAATGCTCAAGTCACTTCTGAAATAGGAATTTGAGTTTTTACTTTATGACACCGAGAATCTCAGTTTTGGAATACAGAACAGTATGCAGAGTAAATAGAATCTGAAATGCCAAATTAAAATGTGCATACCATGGCTTGGACACAACTTAATCTAATCATATTAGTTACCTTAGTGGAGGCTCCTAAATTTCAACTATTTGATGAAGCTTTCTCCTAAAATTTGGTCTTTTCCTACATGTTTAACCAAGCCTATCCTTGTTTTCTAAGTTCCTAACCAAAGCATAAACTTAGTGGTGACACTGAAGATATTTTCAAAAACTGAAAAGGATCCACCGAAGAGTTACACTTGGAACAAACTGCCATAAGTTCTGGACCAAGCAAAGATATTTTTGGAATTACTCTAAGTACCAAAAAAAAAGGTTGTAAGAACTCAAAGAAACAAAGTGCAATCAAAGTAATACTCTCATGCAAGCAGGAAATAAGAGGCAGCACTGCAGGCATAACTTGGGAGGAGTATCATGAAGACTAAACCAACAAGCACCACCACACCAGCATCCAGGCACACGACTATCCAATGGGTTACCTCTGTCTAGTGGAGATCCCATCATATGTCACAAAGAAAAGAAAACTGGTTAACCAATTGAAAACCAAGTACCTCATGAATCATCATGAGTCAAGCTGCATGATCTTAATAAACTCATTCACAATAGCCTCTACACGATATTTCTTTGCTTGTTCATGAAATAGTGACCACGGACAGGTAAAAATTCACAGCTGAACACCAGCAAAGAGTACCAGGTTTTGATGGCAGATGCAATTAAGAAAGGACCTCTCTGGCTTTATTTGTGGAAGACAGAAGATATGGTTTTATATAATATTTAGAGATTATTCCTTTGACTTGACAACAAAAATGAGCACATAGCCTACCTAATATATTCTAATTAAGGTTGTATCTTGCACCATACTTGATTTTCTACCAAGAAATTAAGCATAAATTTCAGACCAAAAAAGCCATTGGAGGAGAACGAGGGGAGCAAAGCCATTCACTGGAAAGTTAGTATTTAAATTTCTAAAAATAAAAGAAACAAATAGTTAATTTTTGACATTTTCCAAGATGTTGTAAAGTATGTGAGCAGGAAAAAATACATGAAATGAGAATAGGTCCCAAAGGCATACCATTACTAACAAGAATAAATGTGAATAGAAGCTGAGTAATTAACAACAATAGTCTCATGGAGAGATTGCTATATGTAATTAAAATAAATAATACATTAGGAATCAGAAGTCAAGAAACAGACAAAAGGAAATAAGGAAAGAATAAAGAAGATCAAGGCAAGGCCACTACAGATTAATGGAGTCTACAGAGACATGACAACTACAGACAGAACTGAGCAAAAGAAGTATACCTAATGTTACTTTTCTAACAATACCTGGACCACAGGACTGCTCAGGAGATAATAAAAAGACAAATCTAATTTTGTTGGTAATTTTTAATTCTGATATTAACTTCAAATCACAGAAAAGATCAAAGAGTATATAAGGAACTAGTACATACTTTCTACCTAAATCCACCAGCATACTACCTTATTTGCTTTATCATTTTATAGAGGTTTTTTTTTCTCTATAGCACTTTGAAAGTAAACTGAAGACAGCATGCTCTTTTACACTTAAATACTTCAACATATATTTCCTATGAGTAAAGACATTCTCTTACATACCACAGAATAAATCTGATAAAACCATGAGATTTAATATTGATAACACTATAATCTAATCCAGTCCATTTTCACATTCAGTTAATTGTCTCGGTAATTTCCTTTGTAGCCATTCCACCTGCCCTTAGTCCAGGATGTATTAGGAAAAAGACTGCATTTAGTTGTCATGTTTCTGTAGACTCCATTAGTCTGGAATGGCCTTGCCTTCTTTCCTTATGAGGTTTATTATGCACGGCTGTGATAAAATTCACCATCTTAACTGCTTAATCATATGAATATTTTGTCTGGCTTTTACCACTTAATGTTTCTAGGTTTATTCATGTTACAGCATGAATCAGTACTTCCATGCTTTCCATTGCCAAATAATTCCATTATATGTATATATCACAATTTATTTACCCATTTATAGGCAGAAGGACATTTAGATTATTCCCACCATTTGGCTACTGAGCAATGCACATCCATGTAAAAATAACTCTTGGAGTACTTGTTTTCAGTTATTTTCAGTATATCCCTAAAAGTGGAAAGGCTCCATTATATGGTAGCTTTATATTTAAGTTTATAAGGCAGAGCCAATCTGTTTTCTCTAGTACCTGCATCCATTTACATTCCCACCATCAACATAAGAGGACTCCAATTTCTCCATATCCTCCCAACACTGGATGTATTCTTCTTTCATAATGCAGCTATCCTTATGGGAGTGAAATATTATGATTTGCAAATATATTCTTCCATTCTTTAGTTGACTTTTCACTTTTTTGATAATGTCCTATGATTCACAAAAAGCTTTTTTTTTTTTTCCCCGTGAGGCTAGGGTTTGAACTTGGAGCTTTAAGCTTGCTAAGCAGGCACGCTACCACTTGAGCCACACTTCCAGTCCATTTTGCTCCAGTTATTTTGGAGATGGGATCTCACAGCTATTTGCCCTGGCTTCAAACTGAGATTCTCCTGATCTCAGCCTTCTAAGTAGCTAGGATTACAAACATGAGTCACTAGTGCCAGGCCTCACAAAAGTTTCTAATGTTGGTAAAGTCTAATTTATCCATTTTCCTTTTATTACTTGTGTTTTCATGTTGTATCTAATATTCCATCACTAAATCCAAGGTGATGAAACTACCCCTATTTTCTGGGAGTTCTATAGTATTAGCTCTTTTTTATTGATCCATTTTTTTTCTTTATTTGGTCATACTAAGATTTGAATTTAGGGTCTACTAGTTGCTAGGCAAGCTGTTTACAACTTGAGCCACCTCTTACCCTATTTTTCAGATAGGATCTCAAATTTTTGCCCAGAGCTGGCTTTGAACCATGATCCTCCTACCTATGCCTCCTGTGTGGCTTGGGTTACAGATGTGTTCCACTACTGTCTGACTTGCTTGTTGAAGTGGAGTCTTTTTGCCTGAGTTGACCTCAAACCCTGATCCTCCTGATCTCTAACTTCCAAATAGTTGGAATTAGAGGCCTGAGCCACTGTGCCAAGTCAACTGAGCCATTTTTATATATAATGTAAGATGGGGGATCCAACTTCATTCTTTTTTAGGTGGATATCCAGTAAACCCCATACTATTTGTTGGAGATACCATTTTCATCACTGAATGGTGTTGACCCACTTTTTGAAAATCTACTCATCATAGATGTGTGGGTTTATTTCTGGACTCTCAATTCTATCCCATTGTCTATATGTCTATCTTTATGCCAGTACCACACCACTTATGCCTTTTACAATTAAAAAATTGGGATAAAATTCATAGAACATAAAATTTACCACTGCAACCATTTTATAGTGTAAGTGCTTTAAGCTCTGTTCATTTTTCTTCATTCTTTTTTGTCTCTACTTCAGATTTCATAACATCAACTGACCTATTTTCAAGTTCACTGATACTTTCTACTGCCTACTCAAATCTGCTGGGGAGAACATCTCTAAGTGAATTATTATGGTTCCAAAATTTCTACTTGGTACATTTTTGTAATTTCTATCTCTTTATTCACATTCTGTTAGTTCATACATATTTCTCCTTGTTTATTTAAGCTATTTGGCTCACTAGGACAACTGACTTTAAGTTTTTAAGTAGTAAGTAAAATATCTGAGTCCTCAAGGATAATTCCTTTTTTTTTCCCTGTAACTAGGCCATACTTTACTGTTTTTATGCATGCATAATTTCTTGCTGAAAACTGGGCATTTTGTATATTCTCATGTGGTCACTGGAAATCAGATTCATCCCTTTTTTTTTTTTGCTGCTAATTGTGGTTTATAATTGTTTAGTGATTTTTTCTAAACGTTTGGTCATGACTACTCTTTGTCATACATCAATCTCTGTTCTGCTACCTTTGTGTTATCAACTAGTGATGTGACAGATTTCCTTAAATGTGGAGCCAACAGAGAAGAAATACTCTCCCAGTCTTTGCAGATTGGTCCTCTGTTGGACATTTCTTTGCCTATCTATACCAGTTAGTGTGTCTTTCTCCAAGAAGGCATCCCTCCACTACTGCATTAAATAGAATATGTCTGTGCTTAGAACCTTCTGTTTCCTAAAGGAGAAAAGATTTTTGTTTGTACAGCTATATATAACACTTTTGCTATACTGATTAGAGTGACA